ATAACCACGAAGATTGTGAAGGATGACAGGAATGCGTCCAGTAAAACTATAGTTTTACTGGACGCATTCCTGTCATCCTTCACAATCTTCGTGGTTATGACTCCCACCTGATTATGCAAGGTCTTGGAAAGCTAAAGAATAAGGAGATCAACTGCATCCCCAACAACACTGAAAAGTATATTTCCTTCTCCATCGATAAGCTAGATTTTATTGACTCACTTCAGTTTATGAACGCTTCTCTCGAACGGCTTGTCTCAAACTTATCCAAGAATGGTGCGGATATGTTTCCCATTCTCCAGAGATATGTTGAATCTGAGAAAGTGCTCTTGTTGCTGAGGAAAGGCGTGTATCCGTATGACTACATGGACAGTGTGAAAAAGTTCGACAAAGAAACTCTGCCTCCTCAAGAATGCTTCTACAGTATTCTAAACGATGAACACGTTCCCGATGCTGACTACGACCACGCTACTCGCGTTTTTGAGGCTTTTAACTGCCAAAGTATGGGAGACTATCATGATTTGTACTTAAAATCTGACGTTCTGCTCCTTGCTGATGTATTTGAAAACTTCCGAAACGTCTGTTTAAAAGCATACAATCTAGATCCTTGTCACTTTTACACAAGTCCTGGATTGGCGTGGCAAGCTTGTCTAAAAATGACAGAAGTGGAACTAGAGTTATTGACTGATCCAGATATGTATTTATTCATCGAAGAAGGGCTTCGTGGTGGAATATCCATGATAAGTAACCGTTTCAGTAAAGCGAACAATCCGTACGTCCCTGACTATGACCCTCATCAAGACTCATCTTACGTGATGTATCTCGACGCTAATAATCTTTATGGCTGGGCTATCACACAATCTCTACCAACTGGTGAATTCGATTGGTTAAATGAAGAAGAGATCCCCAACCTTGACATCACACAAATTCCCGATGACTCTGAAGAAGGTTATATTCTCGAAGTCGACTTAAAGTATCCTAAGGAGTTACATGATCTACATAATGACTATCCGTTGGCTCCTGAAAAGATGAAGATTTCTCCTGAAATGCTATCACCCTATTGCAAACAGCTCTCGGATGATTTAAAGCTCGGAAGTGTCGCAGTCCCCAAACTAGTACCCAACCTCAACGATAAGACCAAGTATATTGTACACTATCGTAATCTAAAGTTATATCTCGAGCTGGGAATGGAGCTGACAGAAATTCACAGAGTCTTGGCGTTTCAACAAAGTCCATGGCTCAAAGCGTACATAGATTTCAACACAGAAAGAAGAAAGCACGCCGCGAATGACTTTGAGAAAGATTTCTACAAGCTGATGAATAATGCGGTGTTCGGAAAGACCATGGAGAATCTGAGAAAGCGAGTCAACGTCAAGTTGGTCAATGATAAGACAAAGCTGACAAAACTAACTGCCCGTCCATCGTTTGACTCTTTCCGTATTTTCTCTGAGGATCTCGCTGCTGTGAATATGAAGAAGACAAAGCTATACTTAAATCGTCCGATTTATGTAGGATTTTCAATTCTAGATCTCTCAAAGGTGTTGATGTACCAGTTTCATTACGAATATATGAAACAGAAGTTTGGTGCTAACGCTATGTTGCTTTTCACGGATACGTATGGAAAGCCATAGGTGTCTTAAGTGGTTAAATTTCATTTCATCCGGTGCTTTTAGCATTATACGTGGTGCTTTTATCGTTATACGAGGTGCTCTCGACATTATACGCGGTACTCGCAACATTATGCGAGGTGCTTTTAACATTATACGCGGTGCTTGAGACATTATACGCGGTGCTTCGGACATTATACGCGGTGGTTGAGACATTATACGCGGTGGTTGAGACATTATACGCGGTGCTTTTAACATTATACGCGGTGCTTGAGACATTATACGCGGTCGGTATAACGTTATACGCGGTGCTTTTAACCTTATATGCGGTGCTTTTAGCATTATACGCGGTGCTGTAACTACTTGCTGTACTTTCAACATTATACGCGGTGCGTTTATCACTATTCGCGGTGCTTTTATCGTTATACGCGGTGCTTTTAACATTATACGCGGTGCTTTTAACATTATACGCGGTGCTGGAGACATTATACGCGGTGCTCGAGACATTATACGCGGTACTCACAACATTATGCGAGGTGCTTTTAACATTATACGCGGTGCTTTTAACATTATACGCGGTGCTGGAGACATTATACGCGGTGCTCGAGACATTATACGCGGTACTCACAACATTATGCGAGGTGCTTTTAACATTATACGCGGTGCTCCGGACATTATACGCGGTGCTTCGGACATTATACGCGGTGCTTCGGACATTATACGCGGTGGTTGAGACATTATACGCGGTGGTTGAGACATTATACGCGGTCGGTATAACGTTATACGCGGTGCTTTTAACCTTATATGCGGTGCTTTTAGCATTATACGCGGTGCCTTTATCACTATTCGCGGTGCTTTTATCGTTATACGCGGTGCTTTTAACATTATACGCGGTGCTTTTAACATTATACGCGGTGCTGGAGACATTATACGCGGTGCTCGAGACATTATACGCGGTACTCACAACATTATGCGAGGTGCTTTTAACATTATACGCGGTGCTCCGGACATTATACGCAGTGGTTTTATCATTATACGCAGTGCTGTAACTACTTGCTGTGGTTTCAACATTATACGCGGTGCTTGAGACATTATACGCGGTGCTTTTATTATTATACACGGTGGTTTTATCATCATTATATTCGGTGAGCCAGTACTTTTGGTCAGCGTTTTGGAATTTGGATGTCGGATATATACGTCGTGTAATCATCTGGACACAGATCCGGCGCTGTCAAAATGGCGTCAGAAATTGCGTCCGTCTTACAAAAGTTGAATCTTGAGCTATTAACTGAAAAGTTTGATATAATAATAATAGCTTTATTCATCCATCTTAAGATAAAAAAGTACAATGGACTTACAATTACTTGTTTAAGAAAGTATATATGCTGTGGGTATGTCTTTATATTACAAATTGTTGTAAGATAACTTAGAAAACTAACTAAGAAGTTAAAACTAATAAGTTCTTTAAACTAATAAGTTCTTCCAATAAGTTAAAATTATTTATACATATTTACAAGCTCTTCCTGAAAAAGAATGTTTATGCCTTTCAGTTCCTGAGAAGAATGATATATTGCGATTCCGGTCAATGTTCCTTAAATAGTACCGATTGTTAATTAATTTTGGAAAAACACTGCGACAGGGATGGTTTGGATCGTTCATAAACCTATCAACTTCTCGACTAGTTGCCTCTTCCCTTCTTTCGTTCAGCGGTGGTAGGTAATCTTTTTCCAGGCCAAGGATTCTTAAGCTCCTGGATTGAACCCGCTCTATTTCATCTCGCAGGTAATTAGGCAGTCCCGCCCAGACAGGTGATGCATACTCGAGAATTGGTCTTATTTTGGATTGATAGGTAATAATACCGACTTCAGCTGGTAACTGCGATTTCCGGCATTCTCTAAGATAGTAAAGGCGTTTATTTGCTTTACGTGTAATCTCTTCAACATGTGCGTTCCATTTTAGATTATTTTGGAACGACACGCCAAGTAATTTAAAAGCGTTGACCCTTTCTATTAACTCATTTCCAATACGAAGACGTGGTGGTTTAGGTATAGCGTCCGTGAAAGAGATCCACATGTCCTTAGTTTTTTTAGCATTAATTGCCATTTTATTTAACACCGCCCAGTTATTTACTTCATTGATAGATTGTTGTAAATTACTATTAGAATCTACGCTCACTATTTGGTGTTGTGTGCAGTCATCTGCATACTTATTCGTACTGACTTTTAGTTGTTCTGGTAAGGCGTCCTCCAAATCATCAATGTAGGTATTAAAAAGAATGGGAGATATTACAGAGCCTTGCGGGACTCCGGCCGGGCATGTTGCAATGGATGATAAGGTACCATTGAGATTTACTTGTTGAACTCTTCCGGAAAGGAAACTTTTAATCCATAACCAGAAGGGTTTATTTATGTTCATAGCTGCTAATTTGTTCAAAAGAATATTGTGATCCACAAGGTCGAAGGCCTTACGAAAGTCAATGAAGGCCGCATGAACCCCCATTTTGCCTGTTTTTGAACAATCAGTGGCATTAAACCAGGTTTGGGTAGTTGATATTAACGCAGAGACTGTGCTTCGATGTTGAGTAAACGCGTGCTGGTTATTCTTAATTTTCAGATCTTCAATATTTAACTGGAGCTGGATCTTTTCCAGGATCTTGGCAAGATGGGGTAAGACTGATATCTGGCGGAAATCATTGTTAATGTCTCTCGGTGGTTGCACTTTAGGAACAGGGGAAATTAGGGCATGTTTGTAGAGTGATGGATAACAACATTGACTTATACTACAGCACACAATGTCATAAACCACAGGAGCTAGGTCTTCGTGGTATTGTTTGAGCATCCATGCAGGAACCTTATCAATGCCAGTTGCTTTTCTTGGATTAAGATGTTTTAAGACCGCTTTAACTTGGCCAATAGAAGGAAGAGGTGGTTTGTTATTCTTATGTGGATGGTTCACTTCAGGTATTTTAAAGGCGACATTCGTGTACCGGTCCGACCATGGTTTAGTGAAGGCTTTCTGAAGTTTTTCAGCTAAGTCGGATAAGTCTAGGTTTTCGGGCCTGTGTGGAAATTGGGTGTGGGTTGTGTTTTCGGCATTTACTAAAGAGTAGATACAGTTATACCACTTCGATTGATTCGAGGTACGAAATTCTGAGGCCTTGGACTGATAGTAGGTGGCTTTAGCTTTAGCTATAAGATTTGCCACTTTCTCGCAGAGTTGTTTGTATCTTGGCTGATCACCACGAGAAAAGGCTTTCTGACGAGCTTTGATTTGCATTTTAATATTACCAGTGATCCACGGTTTATCAGAGTGATGTATTCTGATGGTTTTTTTCTGGTAAGAACTCGTCAAGCATCTTGATTATAATGGAGTTATAAGCTGATACTTTCTCATCCACATCCAGTGCTGAATATACAGCAGTCCAATCTTCAGAAGCCATATTCAGGGAGAGGTCATTTAAATTTGCTCGTTTCATCAATCTAATTTTTTTTGACGTAACCGGAGTTTTCTGTCTTTTAATGGGCTTGATTAGAAGACATTGGTGGTCGGAGCGTCCGATTGGGGGAAGATGGCTAACAGTGTCAAAGAGAGGGAGCATATTTGTAAGGATTTGATCAAGAATGTTGTGTCCTCTAGTCGGTTTAGTTACAGATCTTTTTAAATTAAATCTGTTACATAGTTCTCTTAATTTTAGTTGATTGAAGTCCCCAGCTATAACAATTCCAGATGAAGGACGTTCGCGCAAGAGACTATCTATACAAGTAGTTAAGGAGAAGATAACACCAGATATTGTGGGAAAGCTTTCTTTAAGTGAGTTTAAAAAATTAGGACTACAAAATCGCAATGACATAATGACATTAAGACTAGAATGTGCAAAGTATGGACCAGAGAAACCGCAAAGAAGTAAGTCAAATGAATGTGGCGCTCCTCAGTTTGATATTCCTCGCACCCTTTTGGAGTGTTATCTTGATCAGAATTTAACGATCGATGCAATTTGCAAGATTCTTTGTGTATCAAAAAGCACAATATATCGCAGAATGAGACAGTATGGCCTTAGTAAGATGGAATTTTCTGATATTTCAGACGACAATTTAGACCGTCAAATTAAAGAAATAACCCAAGAATTTCCTCACTCAGGGGAAGGTCTTGTGAAGCAGTTGCTATTGGTTAGAAACATTAAAGTTCAACGATGGCGGCTACGTGATAGCCTTCATAGGGTTGATAGTGAGGGTATTGCCCAAAGATCGAGAGGAAGGTTGCACAGGAGAACATATCATGTTCAAGGTCCAAACCACCTTTGGCATATTGACACAAACCACAAACTTATTCGTTGGAACTTCATTATTATTGGAGGTATTGATGGTTTCAGTCGTTTGCCTGTTATGCTGCAGTGCTCGGACAACAACAAAGCAGATACTGTATTGGCGTGTTTTGTAGATGCTGTTAATGAGTATGGACTACCTAGTAGAATTCGGACTGACAAAGGCCTTGAAAATGTGGGGATTGCACAGTTCATGATTCAAAATCGAGGTTCTAACCGTGGAAGTGTTATAGCTGGGAAGAGCACACACAACCAGAGGATTGAGCGTTTGTGGAGAGATGTTTATGAAGGATGTTTGAGCTTTTTCTATCAGCTGTTCTATTTTATGGAGGAAGAAGATATTCTTGACCCTTTGAATGAATTACACCTGGCTGCGCTTCATCATGTATTTGTCCCCCTAATTAATGAAAAACTGACTGTTTGGAAAATAGCTTGGGCTCACCATCGAATGCGCACAACCAGGTCAACACCTGCACAGTTATGGCTTACAGGTCAAGTTAACAATCGCGTAGGACTCGAGGCTGTCCTTACACCAATTGAAGATCCTGATGGAGAACTAGATGAAGGAAATGAGGAACAATCTGATGGGGATAGACCAGTTTTCCTTCCATTACTATCAGGTCTTCCTGAAGCTTGCCACAATGAACTTAATACCCAAACCTGGACCAAATCAAACAATGGGATTGATGACTTTGTCAAAGCACTGGATATCATTAGAAGGCACGATGTGTAACCAATTAACTTGCAATTAATGAAATTTTCATTTTTTATCTGGGAAGTAGGCTGATAATATAGGGATGGCTATCTCGCAAAACATTTCAGTTGGAAAAAATACACATCCCTATGAAAAACAGATGTCTGAAAGGTTACCGCGGTAAATATGTTAAAATAATAATAAATAATGTTTCTTAATAAGGGTCCATTCACAAAGGATGTCCAAGCCGAGTGGGGGTAGGGGCATTTGGAAAATCAGGTCAAACTCGGAGATAGGGGGGGAGGGGGGTTTTAGCAATCTGGATGTCCGAATTTAAAAAAAAATCAAAAACAAATCAAAAAGAGATTTGTTTTTGAATATTTTGCCTTTATTTTGAACTATCCTTCCCATTGTGAAATTGGCATTTTGAACACTTCATAATAGTATCCTTCAAATAATATTTCCTTCAATGATGAATTCAACAGTGTCGTGAAATAATAACTTAATTAATGCTGATTTAATTATTGCATGTCTTAATTATTGAAATTTAAATATTAAATATAGATATTTATAATTTCAATGACACCAAAGTATTTTGCACAATAGGCAATTCCAGCTTTTAGTCTATGCTTGCAGGGGATGATGGGAAGTAAGGTATCATATTGCCAATTTTGCTGAAAAATTTCAATAAAAACTACCGAAACATTTCAATATTTACAAGTATAAGCTATCAGTCTGTGTTTACACGGCCACCATTTTTATTTTATCAGCAATGTGATACCTTACTTCCCATTGTCCCCTGCACACATAAACTAAAAGCTGGAATTGCCTATTAGCCTTTCAAAAATTAGAACCAAAAATCAAATCTGTGTAGAACTGTACAGTGTTTTATCAAAGGTGCATTGTTAAATATTTCCAAAAAAGGCATTGGCAAATGCATAGTCATATAGGGAGTAGAGATGATCAGGTGCCGGCATAGGGATAAGGTGTGTAGCATGTGGTAGTGTGAGGGCACAAATGCAAGTATTGGCTGTTGGTATGAATTTGTTGGCTGCTGCTACGTCTATAAAATTGATGTTTGGCTGAATTGTGAATCCTAGTGGTGGTTCTTCATCAGCACATGTCGTAAACATTAGTATATGAGCCAGGCTAATTGCGCCCCGTCGTCCACCTAGAAATATAATACAATAATCTTATAAGTATGTTACATACTGTATGACACATATTACTAAACAGTAGTTCTACAGTACTTCTTTTAAACTGAGCAAATTAAGGGACAATATCCAGATGACCCCCACTCCAAAAATAATCAATCATATATATTCATATGCTAATTTGCACTATATATTTTTAATTATTATTTACCACCATTTACTTACTTGCAACTTGTCTTAAATATTTAAGAAATTCGGCGTAGATCTGATTTTCGAATTGTCTCTTGTTTGACCCTTCTTCACTGAACATAGTCTTCAACAAGCTTGTTAGACTTCTCATCGTTAAGGTCTGGGTACTGGTAGGTTTAAGAAGATCCAAGAATATTGGAAGTTTACAGCCAAACTAGAAAGATAGATAATTCATGTTATTCAATAAAAATAGATGCAATGGAATAACCTATATTTTGTGTAGATATATTATATAATTTTGTTCTCTGAAGCAACCTGTGATTTGAAACAACCTGCATGGAAATAATTTCGGTCCCAGCAGAAAAAAATCTACTGTATATATGTATAATTATTGGAAAGTTTTCATGGATAAATTTTGTTGAAACCAACCACAATTTCTAATCTTTTTGGTGAAATTGGGTCTTAGTTTCTCTTGTCAGCTTATCACTTTTCAGTCAACATTTTTATATATACTTTTTGACATCAGTTCTAAACTCACTTGATATATTCCAACTTTCTTCAAACCTTGTTGCAACTCGGATATACACGCTTCATTAGTCCCCTCAGCAGAGAAGACTTTCTTCTTTATTTCCTCATCAATAAAGGTTGGAATTTTTCCATTTTGAATAATGCTCAAACCTGTTGCAAAAAAGGGACAATGTCAAGTTCCAATGAAATGAGGAGGGTGTGCCCAGTATTTTCTATTCAGGAGAAAAATATGAAACAATAAATGATATTACAGAGGTTTATTTCATGTAGATTGAATCAAATTTACTGGATAAAGTGTCATTTTATAGCCTCACTATATCATTGATCAAATTCAGAAATCTAATCAAGCTAAATTGTAGCAAATGGTGCACTCAGACCAACGTCCCATTTAGGCAGGGCTTTTTCTCTGGTTTGCAAGGTTGCACTCACACCGACAATCTGATCCAACTGGCTCCCATTATGAAATGCTTAATTAATAAACTATTTACATCATATTTAAACACAATAGCTTACCTAATATTATGCCAACAGGTTCGTACTTCTCCTTCAATAAAATTCTAAGTCCATTGTCAAAAAATTTCTCCTTTATTTCCCTCAGGACTAACCGAAAGAATTCTTTTCTCGGTCCACCATAATCTTCTGCAACCTGTAATCACAAAGTGTGCAACATATACAATAAGGGATATGATTTCCTCTAATGAGTACTATCTGCATATGGTACACAGATTCATATTAGTTGGATACACTGATGACATAAACTTATTGGAAATGATATCTCTACATTTTGCACTATTGTACACTAATTAACCCGTATTAAGCTGGCAATACCATTACAAATGTTCCGTTAGCATGTTAAGCATATTTCCAGTTAGGAGGTGAGCGGGGGGGGGAATGGGTAGGGGGGAGGCAAACAAAGTTTTACCTTTTTTCTTATAAATAGGGGGTCAAAAAAGTTTTAACCTAGAGAAAGGGGGGAGGGGGTTCAAAAACGCTTTTGAGGCTTAAATATCATGTCTAGAGTTCTAAATTATATAATTGCAAATGCCCTTTTGTTGAATATTATGATTTATATGGAAGTTGAGATATTTTAATATTTTAATATAAATCACAAATATGCCTACATTTAATAGTATACGGTATATGTTGTAGTTAAATTTAGATTTTAGGTGTAAATCTGTTTAAATCTATTCCATTTAGCTGTATGAAGACGGGCCGTAGGTTAGGGTTATGGTATATTAGGGTTAGATTTTTGAGAGAAATGTGGGACAAATGGTACATTGCAAAGTAGCAACACATAATATATATTTTTGAATCATATTCACCAGGGTAAAACATACTGGGCTATGTTAAACAGATTGAGCTATTATCTAACTTTACCTGCAATGCACATCTGTTTCATTGCTGTTAATTTTTCAATCCATACTGGGGGGAGTCAGAAACGTTTCTACTTTTATCAAGGAGAAGGGGGCACAAAGTTTGCCTTCAATCTGGAAGGGGGGGGGGGTCAAAAAAGTTTCCATTCCTTATTTTCCCAATTTACCAACACTCCCCCACCCCCTCAGTAATGACCATTTCCTTACAAGTTATAAAAGCAACAGTTGGAAAATATTACCGGATTAAAAAATATTACAATTTTTTGACAATTATTAGCAAATTCGTACCTCGCCATAGAATTGAACTTGTAAAGTTCTCCTATATTCTGTAAGAAACAAAATTTCATCAATTGCAGTCGTCATGAGATTATGCCGGTCAACCATGATGAAGTTGGTCACTCCTTCATTCACTTCATCTACAGACTGAACCTCCAATGCTCTTCCTATCACCATTCTGGGTTGAAAATGTCGTAGAATTTCAACAGGATTCAATATAGTATGCTGTTGACAGTAGGTAATAGTGCTGTCAACAATTTCATCTACTGATTGCCCATTATTGTTGGCTGCTGCTGGTGTGTGTGTTAGGTCAACAACTGGAATGGATGATGACAGAATAACAGATGAAGAGGCATTTGAAGTAGAGGATGGTGATGAGGAATCACTGACAGTGGTAGTTGCTGAAACTAATGAGGTGTGGGTATTTGGTAATGAATTGTTAGGGATGCTTGAGGAGTTGGTGGATTGCTTGAGGAGTTGGTGGATTGCTGGACAATCGGTTGGGTGACAGATAGTCCTGCTGTAGATGTAGATACTGTTGTTGTAGTTACTGTGGTGGTATTGGTGGCAGAGGTTTCAGCAGGTGGCAATGTGTCTACTGTACCAGTATTAGTATTTTGGCCATCATCATCATCACTTGGCTCCAACCTCTGGGTACAAGACCATAAGTGATCGTGAAGATTGCGGACAAGGACATCCTTGTTACACACATAACATTTTTCTTTCACTTCTGACTTACTTTCAGCCACTATAGGTTGTGTTGACAAAGACTTATGTATTGGTCGCACGTAAATCTTCCCTTGCCCTCCGCCCAAGTTTGAACGCAGATCTTTTGCACTCCAGGAACAATCGATGACAGTCAGATCCCGACAGTTCGGTTGACAGCGCATCATTTCAAATTCTCCACATGTTTTCAGTTCTGGAAATCCACAGGCATTTCCAGTGGCGTCTTTTTCATCGGAAGTAATTTTATTTACTACAGTCTGTTCGTCATCTTGTGTATCCAACTTTATCTTTTTCAATCCTAGACCAGCTTTGAATGGAATGCCGTCTGCCACGCAAACAAACGTCAGTGTTCATGGAGATCGCAGTAGCTTTGAAGCAAAGATCGCAGTAGCTTTGAAGTTCTTTGATCAAACTTTTAATCACAAGACTTTTATCACAGAAACTTTGATAATGTAAATAAGCTCTTTGGATCTATGTGAGAATTTGTTGGTGGAATTGTAGAAATTGGCTCTGCTGCAGTAATGTTGCATCACCAGTTGCAACAGACCTTAGAAGCCCTCAGGTCCATAATGCTTATGTGTTTTGAAAACTGTGTGACATGTTAAGTACTTCTAAGATCTATATTCAGCACAATATTTAGTACTGACAAAACATTTAACTTACCATCATGGTATAGTATTTGAATTAAAAAGGAACATGTTTCAGGTTTTTGATTCAAGTACCAAAAAATGCACTAAGTCAGTACGACACAGTAAATATTACACTGCAACCTTGCAAGCCAGGGTAGGTAAAGACCCTGGCTTGCAATGTTGATTACACTGTTGACTATTGATTGTACTATACAGTCAAGGCTCTTCGCGCATCGCAAAGACCAACTCGCAAGCTCGCTGCAAGTATGTTCATCCAATCACAATGCTCAAAACTTTATTTTAGTTAGATGCAATCACTCGCAGCGAGCTTGCAAGTTGGTTTTGCGATGAGTGGGAAAGAGGCTTTAGTCAGTTACCAGGTTTATTTCTTCTTTTGGCGTTCCCTCTCTCTCTTTGGTGTCCAAAATAGTCTTCAAGGACATCTTGCATAAACCTTTCAGTAAGCCCTTACTGAAATCCCTCCAACAACAGAAATGTGATTGCCTCTATGTGAGAGTGACATGACATGACCGATAGCGGGTCAACTTTTCGGTGTTCGTTGATTTCGTAAATTTGCTACCTCTTAATAGGTGCAAAGTCAATCAAACATATTATCAAATTGATCATAAAGTTTAAGTGTTTCTGTGGATATATTTGTGAGCAGTTTATCGTTGGAATTATTCTCATATTTTGGATCCCCCGTCTTGGTTGTCAATTTCGTTGTGTCTCGCTACAAATCGTGAATTTTGGTTTTCTGTCATTATCTCATCTTCCATGTATCTCTCTCTGTGTACTACGTTTTCTGTTCCTGTCATCGTGTCAAGTTTTTGGTGTCTTTTGGTTCAACAGAATTTAAACTATGCTCATTTTATTATTTTGACTGTTGGAAATTTTGTATATTCACATTACATCTAGCGTCGTCTGCCATGACAACAACTATGTACAAGTGATTGCCTGTCGTCCACAGTCAAAGTCCTAAAACTATATATCATATTGTGACTTTTTTATATCTCCAATTCTTTGCGATACTGCAATTTCCCGGTAATTACCATATTTAACGTTTTTCTAATTTATTCACAAATGTGTATTGATCACTTTTATGCTTGCAAGATCGTCTTTCTTGAACTTTAGCCTTGGTCGCTGATATCTGAGACCATCTTCACATCAGCTGCAGGATTTCCCCTGACAATAATCATTGCCGTTCAGCTATGGCATTTGTTGCATTGATTTTCACCCCACGTAATTTACTGATCATACTAAATATATACCTCTACTTATCAAGTTTTCCAGAGCCTTGTCCCATTCTACTCCGACTACTCCCCATTCTACATTCAACTTTCACCTCGCTGACTGGGATTCTCTGCATGAGACACTAAACCATCTTGATCTTTCCCCTGACACCACCTGTGACGATATCAATGCTGATTGGCTACAATGGAAAGGCTTATTTCTCGGCGCGGCTGCTAAACACATTCCACAAAAGACATTTAAAAGACGTAGCACTCCCCCATGGTTTGACGGTGAAGTAAAACATCTACTCAATCAAACAAACTGGTTCCGACGAAATGCTAAGCGTAGGTTGTGCTCCAAGCTTTGGGAAAAGTATCGAGAGTTACGAGACGTAACAAAATACGTCATCACCAACAAACGAAAACAGTTTTTTGAATCCATGCCCGCCTGCCTTATTGAAGTCAAGTAGCAATAAGTTTTGGTCAGTGTTTAAGTCCGTTCTTAAGACCCCGAGTGTTCCCAACAAAATGACTTGGTCTGATCATGATGGAGTAACCTGTACAGCCAACAACTCAGCCGACATCGCCAATCTACTAAATCGCTATTTCTACTCCGTTTTCCAACCTTCTCATAGTAATGATGAACATACTCTTTCCAACTTGACTGACAACTCCATCACTAAATCGGATGCAATCTCCAACATCATGCTAACATCCGAGGAGGTCTATTACATTCTTGCAGCTCTTGATGAAAACAAAGCGACTGGACCGGACAAAATTACCGCTAAATTGTTGAAGATCTGTGCATCAAGCGTTTGTTCGTCTTTATGTGACATGTTGAACAAAAGCTTGTCCATAGGTAAACTTCCGTGCGAGTGGAAACTTTCAAACATAATTCCAATTCCCAAGAAAGGCCCTGCTGACGAAGTATCAAATTACAGACCAATATCTCTCTTGTTTTTGCTCTCTAAAGTTTTTGAACGTTGCGTCTATAACCAACTTATATATCGTGTCTCCAATCAACTTCACCATCTACAATTTGGTTTTCTCAAAGGCACGTCGACCACCTCTCAGCTTCTGCGTGTTCTTCATGATATAAACAAGTTGTTAGAAAACCGAAGCCAAGTCGACTCGGTTTATCTGGACTTCGCAAAAGCATTTGATAACGTCAACCATAACCTTCTGTTAGTTAAACTCCAGAGGTTTGGAATAAGAGGTGATCTTCTGCTATGGTTCAAAGACTACCTCTCACGTCGCTACCAAAGAGTAACAGTTCTTGGTGAGTCGTCCCATACTCTCCCTATTCTATCTGGAGTTCCCCAAGGTTCAATTTTAGGACCCCTACTGTTTCTGGTATTTGTGAATGATCTTCCTGATTCAATTTTAACCCAATCGTCTGTGGCTATGTTTGCCGATGACACGAAGTGTTACCGTCTCGTGAACAAGTTAGCTGACTGCGAAAGTCTGCAAAATGATCTAAATAAACTTGTGACATGGTGCAATGATTGGAGGATGGACTTGAATCAATCCAAGTGCGGGGGTTCTTAGCATTACTAGAAGTCGTCAACCAATTATCGCAGAATATCAGCTTATTGATACTTCTGTCATTCGCTTAAGTCATTAACTACCCAGAAAGATCTTGGGATCATTATTTCCAATGACCTGAAATGGAACAAGCAAGTTCATGGCACGGTATTAATGGCACGGTATTAAAGGCAAACATGATGCTCGGCTTCATCCGATCAGCCTCTGACATCAACAACATCCAAGATTCGTTACCTGTCTTTGGTTAGAAGCAAATTGGGGTATGCCAGTCAAGTGTGGGCACACCAAACAGTAACTAACATCGCTTCAATGGAACGCGTCCAACATCGTGCCACCAATTTCATGCTTTCCCTCCCTTATAGATCAGACAAAGTTGTACAAAGACCGACTCCAGTCTATCGGTATTCTTCCCATCTGCTATTGGCTCGAGTTTCTAGATTTAGTTTATCTCTACAACTGTGTTGTTAATGACTCTGATTCAAACATCTCAATACGGGTTTCTAATTGTAGAACCAGAAACTCTAATTCCGACAATGGTATTCTACTAAATGTACCTAAATCTAAGACTGTTAGCTTTCAAAACAGTTTTTACGTAAGAGCACCCAGCGTTTGGAACATTCTACCCGATATCTTCAGAGACACTACAAGATCTACAGCTTCCTTTAAAAGTTTACTATTTAGATACTACTTTAACCTTCTCGAACACGTCTACAACCCAAACAATCCTAGAACCTTTAAATCGGTGTGCGTCAAATGCCACTCTACTCGTTCTATTCAAAATTTATCTTTCAGATCATGGTTGTGAAAGCCAAAGGGGAGGGTCAACCCAAAAATTGATTGAAAAGTGAAAAAAAAAATTGTGCCAAAACAGAGGTTTAGACCTTTGTTTAGCTATTGCAGATTGATTTACATCTATTTTCTAACTTTTTCTATGTTTTTGAGCAGTTTTTACCAACTGCATGTATATTTCTCTTTCGTTGCCATGGAAACTGAAGAGCATTTTTTTAAAATTTTGGCCGCTCCTTTGTTAAAATCTACTGCTTTGTTCAAAATTGAGAAGAAAGTACAAGTAAGGCCTGCTGGCTTTGTGTTCAGCGGTGTTCAACACAAAAATTGCATTATGGGACACGAAAGCACGCTTTCACGAGCACGCTCACTAATGCCAGTTGATTTCAGAAGAAATTTTCCTAGTTCAGTAAGCTTTTCAATGCGTAATTGTTGGTTAAATGGTTGGGAACACGAAAAGAAGCATTTATCGAAAGTCAAGGAAAAGTCGTGGCGTTAGTAATGCATGAAAACAAGAGTGTGAAATGCCAGAATCTTAATCAACTGTTAGCAAAGATGTCGGCCATGTTGGGAACATTAATACTGTACAATTGCCTATGTAAAAATAATTATGAATCTGCCAGTGATTCTGATGAAATATTGACACCCACAAGTGCTTCAAGAACAAAACTAAGCCAGCATATGCTCAAGAGTGTGCTGAAAGCGAAGGAATAGCCATTTGACCATCCCAATACAGACTTGTTGATATAAACTGGACAACTGTCATCTGCTCTTTCTGACATCCATAGATGTGAACAAGGTAGGCACTGTGACTTGTTATTATTAAATGTCACTGAATTAATTTCAAATCACTTCAGGTTTTTGTAATGTAGGTAACACTGCTAAATATCTTTGTAGCCCATAATAATATTCAGCATATTTATGTGATAAGCTTTAATTAGTACCATTAGAATAAGCTTTTGTATCCATTAATTGTAACACTTCGATATAGGACATTTGAGGCTTGACGAAGGAGAAGATAGAAGACGGGTTAATGTCAAGGTTGAGAGTCGAATGCAGCACATGGGACAATATATGTAGAGGTGTTGGATACATCTACCAGTGTATCACAAAGGGGAACGTCTTTCAACATTAATCGATGACTTGCGTTCAGCTCTATTGAAACAGGTGGCAGCTACGGAGGTCTCGCTACACTGTGTACCATTATGAACATGCCATGTATGTCAAAAACTGCATATTATAAACAATTATCTGGACCATTCTCCTAGTCTTAGAAAGAGAATGTCTGAGTGAACTGAAAAGAGTGGGTGAAAAGGTTCCTAAACCTGATTTTTGAGCAACAGCGAAAGAGAAAAAGAGGCGTCAAGGGGGAACTTATGTTGTACTAGAAGGGAAGAAGCATTGAAAGATGCTGAAGGTACCACATATGAAGCTGGTGCCTTCTAATTACCTTCAGCAAGACTTTGATTTTGAACTTATGTATATACACCTTACATTTACTCATTGTAAACAATCCCCAAACGTTAAAGCCGTTTTCTCAAAATCGCCCATTTTACCCTTTGAGAAAGGATATCTCTGGAACGATTTAACCAATTGACATGAAATTTTCAGGATTCATGTATTTTACCATTTTCTTGGGGATGAACAGAGGATTTTTAAATATATATTTTCTAACATGAATTATTGCATAAACATGTTAAGCAAATTTGTATGGTATATTTAAAACCTCGTAATCCACTTAGTTTTCAAAATTTTCAAACATCCTCTGTTCATCCCCAAGAGAATGGCAAGATACATATATCCTGAAAATTTCATGTCAATTGGTTAAATCATTCCAGAGATATCTTTACTCAAGCTCAGTCTATCGCGAAACAGCATGTTGCCACTTTATCTGCCTGGTTGCCAATAGCAATGCAGTTTTGGTGTCCAAAAATATATTTTTTTGAATCTTGAGTTCATTAGCTATCTGATGATATATAGTTTGCCATATATAGGTTTATTGTAAAGTGTCCAGTGTGCAGCCTTTGTTCTGTGAGCCTTAGTTTTGGGTTGACCCTCCCCCTTAATGTTTTTGTGCATGTATAGTAATTTGTCTTTTTTGTTGGGACCCCGTTATTGGAGTTTATCTCTGTGGTCAGTCCCAGTCAATGCACTAATAGATATTTGAATAAGTTTAATATTTGTTTGGTGCGGCAAATCTTGTAAAATAAAATAAAATAAAGTACACAGCGATCTTTAAGCCTTCATAGGTTTGAGCAGAGATAAACATTCTCTGCCTTTCATGTGAAAAAAAAAAAAATTTCCTTCACAGGTGAGTGTACCTTCTTTCCAGTTGTTGAGGTAGGTGAGGAAAACGTCTTTCAACCACGTCAAACAATAGTCATTAGGAGAGGAATATGGCATGATGAATGGATTCTTTTTTCTGGTATGCTCAGTCAATGACATTGGTACAGTCAAAAATCCATTCATCATGTCACAGAATTCAGCTGTATCACTAACATCTTGACTTTCATCTTGCTATATGCTGTCAAAACAATATGCTGCAAAGTCAGCTTGGGTAGGGTGTGTAGTGCAAATTCTTCGTCGCTGTAGAACAGAAATCTGCTATATGTCTGAATAGCACATGCTTCCTATCATTCCACATGAGGCAACTTCGACTTCCAGAACCAAAGTTGTAAAGACAGTTCATTGCGGTCTTCAATAAATGTGGGGAATCTGCGAAAAAGAAAATGAATCGTGATGGTGCACAAATATTTGGTCTTTTATACACAACATCACAATCCGCTTCTTCTTAAATAGTGGATTTTAGTCACATGGAAAGCTCGCAAATAAATACAAGGCCAAGTCCTGCCATTTCGAGAGAGCAGAAATTTGCATTTGTATACAGTCGGTTTGAGCATGCGCAGACCTAATTATCCAATCAGAAAGCAAGATTTCTTGTATGAATTTACCATTTGAAAATGGCAGGACTGAAATACGAGTCGCATGTAAATCAATGTAGAGTTGCAGTTGCTAGGTAACAGACACAGCAAGTTGTAAAATTGTGTAAATATAACATAATGTGAACGTAATGTAAAACTTTTTAAAAAATAATAACGAAAAAGACAAGAAAATGAGACAAAATAACAATATGATGATGAATTTTTAAAGCTTCAAGATAAATAAAGCAATATTTTAGGACCAGCAGGACCGCTTAGCTACGCCACTGCTTCCAAACAACTACAATTCTCCAGAAAAGTGGCATAATCCCCTCACAAGAAATGCCAAGGCATGAATAGCAATAGGATCATCACTTTCTTCAGCGAGACTAGCAAAGTTGCTCTTTGGATCTCCCAAATCAATAAAATCAACTAGATCTCACACAGGCTTTCCACATTCTCTTTACTGATACCAGCTTTCAGTTTAAAGTAATTTTTATAGTCCCAAAGAACTTGTTCACTGGAAAGAATAAGGGCACCACTGTTTTGCAATTCCCTGTATAATTGCAACATTTTTTATATCATAATTTATGCAAATTTGCATATGCGAGTAAATCGTTAACCAAGCTCCGGATGAAATTGGTATTGTTGGAAAGCGGAAGTCCTCCTCTTTCGAATGATGCAATTTCTGTTTCCGTACGATGTATAGTTTGAAAGATATATGCGTTTAAAACAACACCACTCGAAATTGCTACTTTTCGACCGGATGAGAATGAGTTAATTGGCGATGTTGTTGTCTTTGAATCGCATTTTAAAGCTAAAAATTTCGAATTACTGCATTCTTTATATTGTCAAGTGTAAAGAGCATATTGAAACTGTGAATGATTCTCTGGTAAAATATCGTATAATATACATGTTCTTACAGTTTCTGGCACCATTTTATGGAAATTAAAAATTGGTAAGTAATGTTTAGACTATTAGCAAAGGCAGTTTACACTGTAAAATGTTTAAGACCGAGTCTTCACTTTGAACTTCCGCCTTGGGCAATTTTCACTATAAATCTTTTGTAAAATGTTTAATTAATTAAGACAGAGTCTGCACAGCAATGCAAGTTCCCGAATCGGTGGATCACTAGATATCAACCTCAGAAAGATATATCTGGAGAACAATTGTCCAATTGACAACTGGCTTGTGAAAACATATGTCATCGTGCAACTGTATCCACTTATTTACGAAAGGCTAAGCAACATGATTGCTTCCCCTGGAGCTAAATTGATGCTGAGATTGTATCAACTATAAAAGGAGAAAACGTTTAATGCAGCAAAGTGGTATTTAGCCCAGTTAAACAACCTACCTGCAGGTACAACCAAGGAAGGGGCAGTTGTGGATTTTTTTGGGAATGAACACAATCGGTTTGTCAGGCACCTTGGCTCTCTATTCAGGCACACATCTGTTAGTAGATGTTCCCATGAGAATTACCCACACAAGATGTTGAGGACTGATAGCTCATCGAATCCAGCTATCGTACAAATTTCTGGAACAAGTAGTAGCATTCAACATAGTGTGATGAATGAAATTAAAAGCTGGTTGGAGAGTGAATTCAAAAGTCAATGTCTTGTGAAGTTATGGAAGGTTCATCAAAGTAAGTGTTACAACATGTAGAAATTGATGACTGCTAATCATTCAAAGACTCACTCAGAACATCAACTACTATGTTCTTGTGATAAAAAGGCAGACATTTTCCATCAACTCACCAGCTAAATATATAGATTATTATTATACTGTAAATTATGTAATTTCTAGGGATGTGCTGTGCCACTTTGTATTGGAGAGAGACAACACAATGGCCGGGATTTTGCTGAAAGACCTCCCCTAGTGCTGCCAGTCGACATAGATTTGTTGGCAAAAGATGGTGTTGTTAAATGTCTTCAGGATGTGCCTCATGTAATTAAAGGAAAGAATTATAGGTGTGCATGGTGTTGTTTTTAGAAAATAATTCTTATTAACAAATGAAATAAAACTTCAGTAAAATTGCTAATGGTATATGCTGTATTATTAATTGCAACAGGTACGAATTAGAGGCTGTCACATACTGGACTGGCAACAAACATTACACAAGCTGCTTTAAAGTAAAATCCAGATGATATTATTATGATGGTCTGGCAATAAAACATTGGAAAGGGCTGCAACCATATTTTGGAACACCAGAAAGATACACTCTATCACACAGTGTTTTTGTTAACACTATCCTAAACTGATATGCTACTATAGAGGCAAATGAAAGTAAATAATGTTTGAGTCCACAAAATCTCTAAGACTAAGGCCAGTTTAACGGTTGTATGCCTTGGTCGAGCTATCTCCCCCCAAGGTTTTTTTGGCCCCATTTGACAGAAAATCCTGGCTATGCTACTGATTAAGTATGACAGAAGAGCAGTATCTAAGCAATCAATCAAGTTTGGCAAATCTTGATTAAGTTCTACCAAGCGAAGCCTTAATGCACATGCATGCATGCCATTCTTTAACAATTAATGTGCAAGACTCTTCCCTTGATGTGTAAAATCATAAGGCATTTGACAAAGTGAAATGTAAATGTATGGTGCATGGGGGCACATTACACATTAAATGATTATCATTGTACTATACAAGCGTTGTATTACTGTATATCCCAGATTAATCAACACACCAAAGTTTGACTGTTTGTGCAAACTTTGCATTCTAAACTGGGGCGGGCCAATTAAAGTAAAAATCTTTATTACCAACATTTTGTCAGTTTGTACTCACAATCAGGTACAAGTCTACTGAACTGAAGCTTTCACATTTTATACTAACTACATCTGTAGCTAGTACATATAACATACTTTATAATGTGGGGTTGGAAAACAAATATGAATCATTGAATATTGATTCACTGGTTATACATATATGGGAACTTATAGACTATACAACATAACCAAAGAACTGATGTTTAGTGCATTTCTATTTGATTGTAAATATATTATTGTATATTAAATGTAAAAAATACTACTTAATATAAATATATAAATATACTCACCAGCAAAATTATGTTGTCGCTTTGTTACACATTTGTATGAAATTTCGCTGTTCAGGATTGCCCAATAACCGAAAATATTTGTATAATAATACATACATTTTATACCGCATGAACATGATGATTTTTTACACCAGTCTGACTATATTTTTCGGTAACAATAGCAAAGTTCAGAAAAAACCTCACTCAGTCACTCTTGGCTAATTCATTTCGCTGTTCAATATCTCTGTTTTATTAATTTCAATTATTTCCGAAGAACGAGGCTTACGAAGAGTCGCGAAGGTATTTCGAACTCTAGGGTAGCCTCAGCCGATGTTATTAAGTGCCCTCCCATTCACCCACATGGATCATCTTTGGAGCAGTGTTTCCATTCTCAAAAAATGATTTCTCCCCAGTAACTCGAAATTTCTTTTTTCACAAAATTTATTTGCAAATTCCTTCCATTTTTTTTAATGATAATTAATTCTTTAATTTACCTGACAATTTTGTATTGAAACACATTTCATTAATTTATAGTAAATAACTGTGTATTTTGGAAGTTAAATTCTGGTTAGAGTGTGTGAACACGTTCATATACATGCCTGGGAACTAGATTGGGATGAGGGAATGAGCTTATTCAGCATGACAGCATAACGTTACTCTTATTAACATATGGCATCTATGTGCCAGATACATTGCATGGCTGCAATGCACATTAACAGTTAAAATAAATCAGCCTAAAATCAAGGAAAATTTACAAATTTGGTTTTCATGACACAAGGTGAGTTGTGGGGAATAAGTCATGTATTGCTTTTGGTGTTTACTCCACCTACAATAGCCTCATTTTCATGTCTGCCTTTTAACAAAACTTCACGGCCTTTCTGATATTATGTATCTCAATTTCACTATATTTGTGAGTGAAACATAATGAACTAACCCACATCAGAACAAGACAAATTAGGTAAAAGTGCAATACACGTCAAAGTCATAAATTAATAAAACACAAGACAAGGCAAAGGTTTCTTGCATGTTTTTATTCTCACTAAAATTGTGGATGCGTACAAATAACATAATTTCTCACTAAGCATCTGAGTGATATCAAGAACAGTTCATCACCTTAAAAATAACATTAATGTAACACAGTATCTATTGGTTAGGTTTTCTCGATATATCCCTGTGTTTTACCAAAATGCATGCATCAATGTACAGTCGTTTTTAATGTTATCAAATGAATGATATAACACACAGGACTGAAAAGGTGGAAAATTTAAAAAATAAGAAACGAAACATATTTCGAGAATATGCATCTTGTAAATCCAACAGTGATTTTGTGTTTGAACATCTAGGATATAAAACATGCATATCTTTTTGTCTTCATTCACTTCCTAAGAAAC